GAGAGAGATTTCAGAATCAAGTTTACTGTGTGGCCCCAATAGGGGCTGCTGATTGAACAGCAGTTAACCAATCAGAGTTCCGGATTAGTAAGAGTTTCAAGTTCAAGGGTGATCTTTGAATGGTAAAGGGTTAGCTCCCTTTACTGTCTTCAAATTCTTATACCCAGAATGAAATCCTTTTGTGAGAGATTTTAACACTAAGTTAAAGGTGTATATAGTTTTTACGTTTATAATTTAATAATAGTAGCTACTCCAGATATTCATGTTTATGTGTATTACAAGGTTTTTGAAAAATTACCTCAAGAAATGTATTTTAAAAATTGATTTTTTAGGATGTTCCCATATGGGAACATTTGGTTCAAATTGGTTAATAAAATCTCTCAGTAGTATCCCCTTCAAGTGGTGTCCAGGGCACATGCCTTAGCACCCTTACTCTAGATATGCCACTTACATACACAAGCATATAAATGATTTTTGCTACCCTTAAAATAGCTGTAACCAACTACCCACAAATACTAACTTTCACTATAACTAATTTCCTTCTGTTGTTCTACAATGATCAGATTTTCCGTCTGAATTTCCTGGATGAGGAGTTATCATTATTTATATTATTCTCATCTTATTATCATAACATCTAGGTTGTTGTGCCTTTTGACCTTTATTAGGTGCTTGTTGATCCAAGTAATCTTCAGAGAATTCTGAACTGTTATGGAGTAGCTGAACACCCCCACAAGATGAACTGGTCTAAGACTATTTAAACAGCACTCTCTTACTGAGGGAGAGGAGTTAATGATTAACTGTTTATTACATTACTCTGTGTTCTTAAACATGTATCATATTATTCTCCAGAATAAACTACTTCTTACTTTCTATATTTCCGTCAACCTTTCCTATTTATGACACAACATAATCTAAGGGAGTATAGTGTTCTCATCCCACTGACATTATCTTGAGATATCATGTTTAGTTCTTATTTAGCATTGCTCAGTTGTGGCTCATCATCTAAATCTTTATTATTATACCTGCGGATTGAACTCACAATTACTAGGTTACCAAATTTACAAACAAATTTTAATCCACTATATAATTCAGGAAGATGGCTTTGAGCTAAATTTTGCATATAATTCATTAAATATTTTTAGATTATCACCCCCTGTTGATAATCACAAGTGGTATGATATTTGAAAGGCTCTTCCTCTTATCTCTTTGACTTTGAGAGCAGCAAGACATGGTTCTTTTCGCTCCAATAGGCATGTAAATACTTCCGAGACAGACTCTATTGAACTGTTTATGACTTCAACTTTGTTTCTTTTTTTTTATCCTTCTATAACATGTCTTGTTAATTCATTTATTATTTGTTATTTGTTTGAATTACATGTTTTGCGTTCTTTTCTTTTTTACCTGGACTCACATGAGTCTACCAAATATTGTTGGCAGGACAAATGTAAGAGGAGGCAATAAATGATGATAATATTAATCCTTTCAACAATATAAAACATCTTTGATAATGTAATGGTTCAAGTATAAATCTTGCAAGTTAATTTAAGGTTAAAAGAAATATGTATGAAGGAGTAACCTCCACCAAAAAAAAAGAAAAATGGACAGAATTCAAATGTGCCTTGCAAAATGGGAATTAGAACAATCTACCCCCATAGATTAAATAAATGTGTCATCAAGGACAAATGTCCAGGTGGATAAAAGTATTGATAGAAGTGAAGAAAAAACTTGGAGAGTTGAGTTACTAAAGGGAGGTAACTGAAATTGAGTTACTAAAAGGAGGTAACTGAAATTGAGTTACTAAAGGGAGGTAACTGAAATCGAGATATCCACTAATCTACCCCAATGGACAAAATAAAGGGTTCAGTTCTAAATTCCAGCACATATAACCTGAAGGAAGCTGGTGTGTACAACAACCGAAACATCGTGTATATGACAATAAAGATCAGGACAACAGTCTGAACAATGCAAATAGTGTAAATATTAAATGAAGGGTTCAATTTAAAATTCCCTAATGGTAAGATAGATAAGCACCTGATGAAGGCCAGAGAGCACAACAGCCGAATCATTGTTTTAATAACAACAAAAATTAAATACCAATGTATATAATGTAAATAACAGAATCAGACACTTTATAAATGAAAAATTATCAACAAATTATTAGTGTATTTTACAACTGTACAATATTTCTCACAGGTATTACTTAGTTGAAGACCACCAGGTCTTTGATTCTCTTCAAAGTTCAGTTAACATTTGAAATAACTCTCATATTAACAGAGTTAGTATAAGATTTGGGCGGGGGGGTATACATTCTTTTAAACTTTCAATGGTATAGAAAATCTTCACAAGCCATACAAATGAAAAATAAAAAAAAATAACTTAAATAAATTTTCATAATCTGAAGAGGAAATCTGTTCATGGCTGTTAAAGTGTTAATTATAGTCACACATGATACAAATCAGTAGTTAGTCTTAAAAACAATTGACAGTGATTTTATTTCTTACTATATAATTCAGGAAGATGGCTTTGAGTTAAATTTTACATACAATTCATTAAATATTTTTGGATTATCACCCCCTGTTGATAATCACAAGTGGTACGATATTTGGAAGGCTCCTCCTCTTTTCCCTTTGACATTCAGAGCAGCAAGGCATGATTCTTTTCACTCTGATAAACACAATAGACTTCAGAGACACAGACTAAAGATTCTATTGAACTGTTTATAACTTCAACTTTGTTTCTTTTTTTTATCCTTCTATAACACGTCTTGTTAATTCATTTATTAATTGTTATTTGTTTGAATCACATGTTTTGTGTTCCTTTTTTTTTTACCTGGACTCACATGAGTCCATCAAATATTGTTGGCAGGACAAATGTACTAGGAAGCAATAAATGATGATAATTTTCATCCCTTCAACAATATAAAACATCTTCGATAACGTAATGGTTCAAGTATAAGTCTTGCAAGTTAATTTAAGGTTAAAAGAAATATGTATGAAGGAGAAACCCCTACCAAAAAAAAAAGACAAAAAGAACAAAATTCAAATGTGCCATGCAAAACTGGATGTAGTTGTACAATGCACCACTAGGTATTCTATTCTGAGCCAGTTTGTGATATGGTACAGTTCTGATATGTAGATATAAGAAGAGCTGTTGAAAAGATCTCAGCCTTACCAATTTCCAACCAAATGACAAAACATAAGATTTTTTAAAATCTCTTCTTGATTGACTTGAGAATTTTTCTAGCATATTCTCATAAAAATATTGGACACAATTTTTTTCTATATGCCATGTTACTTCTGGACATAGCTGATCATGGATCTCCACAATTTCCTGTCCTTTGTAGCTCTTAATAAATTTTGTCTTTGTTTCCATCTCTTGCAAACCCTGTCTCTCTAGCCAAGCTCACCAGTTATATTATAGGTTGCTTTCCTCTGTCTCTCTTATCTTCAATCTGACCTATGAGTATTAAATTTCCCAAGCCCTTTTTCCTCATTATGTCTGTCCTGGGTATGATGATAAACTATATCCATGTCCTGGATAAGACAATAAACTACATCCAACATCAAGGCCTCTCATCAGAAGGTTTTGAGGAGTGTGGAGCCACCTCTTAATTGCTGGTGTTCCCAGGTCCCCCCTGACCTGGGGTGGTAGCACCTGTTAGAGTCTCAGATATGGGCAAATAGTTAACCCCCAAACTGGGGTCAAAACACTATGAAAGTATAAAAATAGGTTTTAATACTAGAAAAACTTTGTAAAAATTATTAGCAAAAATACATTTTTGAAAAAAATATAAACCAGCAATACGCTTTTGAAAAAAAAATATTACCAGCAATACATTTTTATAAATGTTGTGGAGTTATTTCACAGTGGAGGCTTGTATTTGTACTAAGTCGGTCCTAAAATAGGTTTGACATACAAAACGTTAGGAACTTGATATAATAGGTATAACACAGAGTAATCTAGTTGTGGTTTCGTATTTGACTAACTGTCGTCCGACATTGACTGACTGACCGACTGACTCATTACTCTTACTATTCTTACTTATTATAGGTGGGAGAGTCTATTAACTATAGAATAGGTGTGTTCCACCATAACAGAAAGAAAAAATATTATCAGCTATACATTTTTGAAAAAAAAATATTACCACCTATACATTTTTGAGAAAAATATTACCAGCAATACATTTTGGAAAAAAAAAACAAAAAAAAAGAAACATTACCAGCTATACATTTTTTGAAAAAATATTACTAGCGAAGAAAAAATATTACCAGAAGTAGATTTTTTGAACGAAAAAATATTACCAGAAATAGATTTTTTGAAAAAATATTACCAACAATGAAAATTTTGTCGGCATTAAATAACCCATTGAGGTTGATATGTCGTAAACCAAAACAAACCTCATTATGTGCTCCAAAAATTTCAACTATCTCTTTCTGATGCTAAGGATGAGTGTCCTTTTTGCCATTGTCTCTAAAACTTTTTTTTGTTTTTGCTCACATGTTCAGTCCACAGTATTCTCAGCATCCTTCTGTAGAACCACATTTCTCTTGTTTCAGGTCTCTTATAATATTTTAAAAGCTTTTTCTACAATCTAATCATCTGAAAAGTCATGTTGTGCTGATATAATATCAGTTTTGGAAAGGCAATATATCATTCAATCATTTGATAAGCTATGTTGTTTTGAAAAATTTAGGTTTGGTTTCTGAAAATTGAAAGGTTTTCCCTTGCGGCTAAAAGAATGAAGAAGGATCTTGCTGATTGTCAGGAGTGTTAATAATATGTTCAGCTTTCTCTCCTGGTTTCAACTACAGTCAATAACAAAATGCACACTTAATTTTACTTTTGTTAAAATGAGTTCTTTTTTTATTTTGATGTAAAATAAAATATTTATATTTGTGGTTTGCTTCTCCTTTTCTCTCTCTTTCACTCTCTCTGTCTATATGTATGTATGTCAATATATATGTATCTCTCCTTCCTTCTCTGCTGCTTTCTTTCGGAAAATGGATTTGGACAGATCTATCTCGATCTGTTCATTATCTATCTATTTATCTATATATCTATTTAGGTCTGTTTATAATCTATCCATCTATTTCAGTCTGTTCATAATTTATCTATCTATTTTGGTCTCTTCTTTAATCTATCTATCAATGTCTGTTCATAATCTATCTATTTTGGCCTGTTCATAATCTATATATCTACTTCAGTCTGTTCATTATCTATCTATCTAAATATATTCATAATCTCTCTATTTTGGTATGTTCATACCTATCTATTTATCTATTTCGGTCAGTTCATAATCTATTTCAGTCTGTACATTAACTATCTATCCATTCATGTGGGTCTGTTCATAATCTATCTATCTATCTATCTAGGTCTGTTTCTAATCTATCTATTTTGGTCAGTTCATAGTCTATCATTCTTTTTTTTTTTAAGCTTATCACCCCAGGCTAGGCAGGAGTGCCACTAGCAAACAAGGGGTTACAGAAAGTGAGAGCAGGAGTAAAGAGGAGTGTTTGAAGAAAGGATATAGAAAAGGGCTAGGATCAGGATCAAGGCACCAGAAAATGTCGATTGACATTACATTTGAATATTTGAATACAGTTATCAGGAAAGCAAGTAAGAGGAAGGGAGTTCCATTGATGGGAAGTGTGAGATAAGAAGCTGTTGGAGTAGAAGAGATGGCTACATTTAACCATCTCGACAGTGAAAGGGTGGGACTGAGATGCCAACATAGTAGCATGCTTAAATTCATGCAGCTTGGGAAACAGTGAAAGTAGCTTGTCAGAGCATTTACCGTGAAAATGCTTGTAGAAAAGACAGAGGGAAGACACAGCATGTCTGTGAGCCAGTGACTGTAGACAAGATGCCAGATCAGGATTTATCTCATTGCATATCCATCTCTGGATTTTGTTGAGGACCTCAAGATGAACAACAGGGGCACCAGACCATATATGGCAGCAGTATTCAATGCAGGGACAAATGGTAGATTTGAAGGATGGTCTCAAGCGGGAAAAACCTTCTGGCATGACACAGAGAACCAACTTTCCTTGCGGTACGTGAAGCTATTGATTCAATGTAGTTGTTCCACCTCAAGTCATTGGAAAGCGTGTGACCAAGCAGGCACAGGGAGGCGCTCCCATGGAGTTGGGCATCAGCCATCCTGATGGGAGGCAAGGAGGGTATGGTGGGTGAATGAGAGCAGTTTTATTTTGGAGGCATACAAGCCATTTCCTGCCCCAGTCAACCACAGATTGGAAGTCCAGGTTAGTTTTGACAACAATGTTGGATTTACTATTGCAGTAGGAGTAAAGAGTAGTGTCGTCTGCATAGATACCTACTGGAAAACTGATGACATCAGGAAGATCATTGATGAAAGCCAGAAACAGAGTAGGACCCAAAATAAAACCTTGGGGAACATCAGCATTTGTATGAAAGGAACTGGAGGAAAACCCAATTAGGGCAACGTTCATTTTACAGTTTGACAGGAATCATTGTATTAAGTCAAATAATCATCCTGCAATGTGGTATCCCTGAAGCTTATGAAGAAAGTCAGGATGCCAAACCCTATTGAATGACTTAGAGATATCAAGAGCCACAACTTGAGTTTCTCTGTTATTGTCAAGTGCTTGGTATACAAATTCAGTAATGGCTGTTCATTATGTATCTATTTAGGTCTGTTCATAATCTATTTTGGTCTGTTCATAATTTATCTCTCTACCTTGGTCTCTTCCTAATCTATCTATCTATCTATTTTCATAATCTAGCTGTCTATCTATTTATGTAAGTGTTGTAATCTAGGGAAGATTACCGAATAGAATAATCACACAAAGGTTGGTAATGAACAATAATACTTAGGACAAGAACAACACATATAAGATTCAGCAGCACATAGAAGTAGTCAACTGCTAGAAGTGAGTCAAGTGAATTCCACAATGAATCTCCAACTGCAGACCAACATACAGTATTTACTACTGTATAAATGTGAATGGGGACATACCCATTATCATCCGTAGGTATACTACAACAGTAAGTCTGTTTATATAATCTATTTTGGTCTGTTCATAATCTATCTAGATATGTTCATACTCTCTCTATTTTAGTATATTTGTACCTATCTATTTATCCATTTTGGTTTGTTCATAATCTATCTATCTTGGTCAGTACATTAACTATCTATCAATCTATCTATGTAGGTCTTTTCATAATCTATCTGTCTATTTAGGTCTGTTCATAATCTATATCTATGTAGGCCTGTTCATTATCTATCTATCTATCTATCCTCATAATCTATTTATGTCAGTCTGTTTGTTATCTATTTTGGTCTGTTCATAATGTATCTATCTATTGCTGTTTGTTCATTATCTATCTATTTCAATCTGTTCAATATCTATCTATCTATCTATCTAAGTCTGTTCCTGCCAATCTATCTCTCTACATAATCTATCTATGTAGGTCTATTTGTTATCTATCTATTTTGGTCTGTTCATAGTCTATCTCTCTATCTATTTTAGCCTGTTCCTATCTATCTATCTATCTATTTTGGTCTGTTCATAGTCTATCTATCTATTTCACTTTGTCCATTATGTATCATTATATTTTGATCTGTTCAATATCTATCTCTCTATCTATTTTAGCCTGTGCCTATCTATCTATCTATCTATCTATCTTGGTCTGTTCATAGTCTATCTCTCTATCTATTTTAGCCTGTTCCTATCTATCTATCTATCTATCTTGGTCTGTTCATAGTCTATCTATTTCACTTTGTTCATTATGTATCATTATTTTTCAATCTGTTCAATATCTGCCTATCTCTCTATCTGTTTTAGCCTATTCCTGTTTATCTATCTATCTATCTATCTATCTATCTATCTATCTATCTATCTATCTATGTCTGTTTGTAATCTGTCTATTTTGGTCTGTTCATAATCTATCTATTTCACTTTGTTCATTATATATCGATCTATTTCAGTCTGTTTATAATCTATCTATTTTAGTCTGTTCCTGTCTATCTGTCTAGGTAGCTATCTATTTTAGTCTGTTCTTAGATAGCTATCTAGCTATTTTAGTCTGTTCCTATCTATCTATCTATCTATGTCTGTTTGTTATCTATTTTAGTCTGTTCTTAGATAGCTATCTAGCTATCTATCTATTTTAGTCTGTTCCTATCTATCTATGTCTGTTTGTTATCTATTTTGGTTTGTTTATAATCTATCCATCTATTTTGTTCCTGTCTATCTATCTATTTTAGTCTGTTCCTATCTATCTATCTATCTATCTATCTATCTATCTATCCATCCATGACTATGAATGACTGCTGGCTATCATTTTCTGAAAGCTTTCAGAACAAACCATATATGTTTTGGTACAAAGACTTTTATCTCCTATTTGACAGCCAGCAAGAGAGCAGTGACATCAATAACAAGACAGTTGTAGTGTCCGCATAAATATTTCATTCTGCAAAGAAACATACACTTTGCTTTCTCTAGCTTAATCACCATAAAACCATAAAATATAATTGAACTGAAGATTTAATTTCCTCTGCTTATTGTTCTCTTTCCTCTTAACTTAGACTAAACCAGAGATGGATTGATCCTCACTGGCCTCACTAGTTTAAATAATATTTTTCTCAAAGGCTTACAACACTTTAAGACAGTATATATGGGTGTTGACAATGGGAGTATCCCAACATGCAAACTATAAATTGGACTTACCAATATCAATCAAGTATAAAAATTTAAATATCTGTAAAGTATTTAATGGAGAATGTGACAAAATCCAAAGTGAGATTGGAATAGTGAAAGATGCCTTCCAAAAATTAAGCAAATCATTAAGAATCATGAAAATTTCATTAGAAACAAAGAAAAGAATGCTGAAATACTATGTAATATCAATCCTCCTATATGAAAAAGAATCATAGACAATCTCCTGACAAGTGAAGAAAAAACTTGAGTCAACAGAAATGTGGTTCTACAGAAGGATTGTGAGAATACCATGGACAGAACATATGAGCAATAAAAAAGTTTTAGAGAAAACGAAAACAAAAAGGACACTTGTACTTAACATCAGAAAGAGAGACTTGAAAATTCCCTTAAAATTCTCTCTCTGTTCCTTCAGGATATATACGATCATGGTTCTCCACAGCTTCTTTTATTTGGTTACTTTCAGCAATATGTGTTCCTTTATGATTCTTTCTTTTTCTGGTATTTATTCCTACATCTATTTTCCTAGACTTACCAATTACATAATGTGCTGCTTTTCTTGACTTTCTAACCCCTATGTACATTGTCCATTCAAGACATAGGTGATTATGGCTCTCCACAGTTTCCTTTCTTTTGTTACTTTCAGCAATACTTGCTTCTTTCAGAACCTTCTTTGTCTTTGTGTGACTTGTTTCTTCTTTCTTCTGTTCAAACTTTTCACATAGATTATTGACTACTTTCTCTACTTGTGAACTGTGAGTGTTAAATTATCCAAGCTTTCTTTCCTCATCATATATTCCCAAAATGTCAACTGTTTTTATCTGATTGTTAGCAGTAGTTTGTTGTTATTGTTTTACTTAAATTTTCCTCATTTTCTGCAAACACTTTCCATGATACTCCCAAACATTCATTAGTAAAACTCCATTTCTGCCACTTCAGGCTTTTTCTTCCTTTTGATGAAATTGCACAGCATTTCCTGGCACTAATTACTCAATCATAGCTGCTTTGCTCAAATTTTTTAAATTCTTAAACCATTAAGCTGTACTTTAGAAGTCTTTTATTTAGCTGTATTTTTTTTCTATTCTATCTTATAACAAAGTTTTAAATCATTTAAATTCAAAATAAAATTTGAATCAGATTCTGGATTTTGTGTTCAGCTTAAGTAACTTGAAAAGAATTTTCACCCAAGTATGTATTTGCTTTCTGTTCTCTCATTCACTTTTTAATTTAAACAGAATTCAGCAAATTTGAAACATCCTAGAAAGAATCTTTATTCATTTGTTTTCCAAAGCTGATTGGTCTTATATGTCCATTAAATGCTATTCTAACATCAATACTTGCTAATTGTCAATAGCAGCTGAAGTATTCTAATTGATTTCTTTTATAAATAACACACATGCAAACATAAATGCAAATTAGAGAAAGATTCATCCACTCAAGAAATAATGACAGCTACGTTCATATCTGCTTAGTGTTCAAAATAAATAATGTTTAAACGGTTGAAATTTGTTTGTACAACTACTTTCTCAGATCAGGGATTAAAAATGATTTCAAGTGGATGAACCCTGTAGGTCTTAGAAAGGACCATCCTTCTAGACTGGCACTACAGAATGATAAAAAAGAACTGTAAAAACCTATTTTCCTGAAAAAGTGTTTTGATAAAAAGATTTTATAAATTCCAACTGAAAATAGTACTGGCTTGTCAATTCTGAATGTTTCCTTATAAGGAAATGGCTAATATTCACTATAAAATAATAATGAAAAATGTTTTGAAATGGTGAAGGCAAGTAAACTACCTAATGCCATTGTGCAAATGGATGGTAGGAAAGATAGTAAAAAGTCAAAGATTGGCAAAAGCTGAAAAGAATAGGAACTTGTGGAGAGCCATGATCGCTAACGTTCTGAAGAGACATGGCAAGAAGAAGAAACCTATCTAACAAGAGAGTTAACAAATGTTCTGTCTGGTTAGCCTAGAATAAATAACCATTTGAATATTTTATTTGGAGCAAGTGAAAAACTCTAATACAAGGCTGACAGATAACAAGACAGTTATAAAATTGCCTTCATATTAAAACAGGAAGAAAAAAGACATTGGTGATTTTCTTCATATACAAAAAATATCAGTTAACATTTAAGGACACATTAACAATGAATTCTTACTCAGTGTGAAATTGAAATAAAAAAAAATGTTCATTTACAATATTTCATGTGAAAAGGAAGAAGAGCATAGGGGTTGCTGAAAAAATACTCTTTTGAGAACCTAAAGAAATTAAGCTAGGCAAGGGAAATATTCATAAAAAAAGTCATTTACTGTAGTAGCAGAAGTTATAAAAGCTCTTCATAGAGAGTGTAAGGTCAACAAATTTCATAAAGCATTGATAACATTGAGAAATCTGTCTATATTTCTGAGATGAGGTATTATGTGCACTTTTTACATTATTCGGACTATTCTCCTCATCTTTATTGCCATATTTATTACGTTTCGGCCTTTCAATATCTGTCTATATTTCTGAGATGAGGTATTATGTACACTATTTACATTATTCAGGCTATTGTCCTCATCTTTGTTGCCATATTATTACAACGTTTCGGCCCTGTAACGAGTATGCGCGGAAACGTCCTCGAACTGCGTGTGTGTCTAGTCGCCGGGCACATCTTGGAGTACCATAATGGACTCGACCGAGGACTACAAGAAGACAGGCGAGTCATTTGGGGTCTTTTCTTTTCGGTCGGGTGCCGTTTTGCTCGTTTGTTGTCGTAAGGTGTTCATTTGCAAGAAGGCGTTCGTTTTTGTGTCGCAAGAAGTTGTCCCCCCACCTCCGTTTTTCTCCCACAAGCTATTTCGGCATTATGGCCTTCGACCCGAAGCTGATACCACTGTTCGACGGAAGTGATTCTGGACAGTCGGTAGTGGAATGGTTGGAGAAGGCAGAACTAATATGTCAGTTGAGCGGTTTGAAGCGAATTGAGTATGTTATCCCGATGCGTTTGGCAGGTGGCGCATATGCTGTGTACCAGCAATTGAGTGGGGAGAAGCGTGCAGACTTCAATTGCATTAAGAAAGCGTTATACACAGCTTTCGCCTTAGATCCCTTCTCCGCGTGGAAGCAGTTTGCAGCACGTCGCCTTCAGCCAGGGGAGACGGTCGACGTCTTTTTGGCAGAACTGCGCAGACTCGCGGTTCTGTTTCGTGGCGTATCAGAAAAGTGTTTGCAGTGTACATTCGTTGCTGGATTGCCTGAGCATGCAGGGGAGCTTTTAAGAGCGTCTTCCCAGATGGAAGACCTGGATTTGTCACATGTGCTGACACGAGCTCGCGCTATTTTGAAGAAGTGCACTGGTCCTACAGAGCAGGCCGCAGTGGCTGCACAGTTGAAGGAAACAGATGTGCACACGAGGTGCTATAAATGTGATGGACCCAATCATAGGGCGAGCCATTGTCTCCTGGGTCGTGAACCATCCAAAGGTGCTGGTACCAAGCACCGACGGGCCATCACTTGCTATCGATGTCATCGGCAAGGGCACATTGCTCGGTGTTGTCCGGGAAACGGGCAAGGGGGCGAGAATTCAGCACCAATCTTCTCCCCAAAACCCTTGTAAATGGCACATTGCCTGTACTGACAGTTCGTATCAATGGAATACCACGTATAGCTCAGGTGGATACAGGATGCACACAGTCACTAGTCCACAAGTTATGCTGCCGTGCATGGACAAGAAAATCAACATGCATGCTTACAGTAGACAGAAGCGCACTTGACTGCTGTGGAATCGGAGTGGTACAAGTTAGCATTGGTGCAATGGTACATCGCTATGGAAGCCCTAGTCATGGACGGAGACCTGCTTGGATTTGACTTCATGCTCGGACTAGAGGCCATCAAACAGTTGGGAGGAATATCTGTAACTGGCACCGGTGAGGTGAAGTTTCCGCAGTGTGTCGAACCAGTCGTTGCTACCATTACCGAGCCCAACTTTAAAGTAGAATTCGATGAGACCACTCGGAGGTGGACCGCATCTTGGAAATGGGCTGGCAACCAACCTCCAGGTTCGTTAAGAAATAGACTGGCAGAATATCCAGCTCCCGCACAAATTCGGGAGGAGTATGATAGGGAACTCCAGATTTGGATAGATAACGGCTGGCTGCTTCCTTACTCGGAGGAGGAACTCGGACCCCCAAAAGGTTTAATCCCCCTCATGGCCATTCTGCAGGAAAACAAACAGAAGTTTCGGCCCGTTATGGACTATAGGAAAATCAATGAGTACGTTGATGCGTACACAGCCAACGCAGATGTTTGTTCGCAAAAATTACAGGAATGGCGTCTGCAAGGACCAAATGCTGCAGTGCTGGACCTACGCCGGGCCTATCTGCAGGTACACATCGACAAGTCCCTTTGGCCATTCCAAACAGTGGCGATTAAGGGACAAAGGTATTGTCTAACCCGCTTAGGATTTGGGCTCAATGTTGCCCCTTTAATCATGTGGGACATTGTTAATACCGTCTTGAGCCAGGACAAGATCGTCAACGCAGCCTCCTCCTCTTTTTTTTTTGTTAATGAGAGTGTGTGTTCTGTGGTCCGCGTCAAGGAACATTTGGAGCAGTTTGGT